GGTGAGGCGGCGGGAGGGGCAGGAGGGGGGGCAGGGCCTGTGCGCAGCGCGGGGAGAGCCCGCGCGCGGGGATTTACTTTGGACCGGGTGCTGCTGTGGACGCAGGGAGCCAAAGCAAATGGGGTGGGAAAGGCGCAGTTCCTGGCAGCCCGATTGTTCTTGCTGGCAGAGCCAGAACCGGCCCTGGATAAGGCAGGAATGTAGCTCCTTTGTGTCCAGTTCCTGGAGCTCTGTATCCAGGGAGCAGGCGGGAGCCACGGTGTGATTCTCATGGCAGCGCTGCTTTGCTCCGTGTCTCTGCTCTGTGTCCTGTTGTTTTAGATTAGGAAACCAAAGCAAACTGGTTTATGCTGCTATGGTTTCAGTGGGCGCTCCCTGCAGGCGCCTGTAAGGCCTTGAGTGCTCATCACATCTTTTCTGTGCTTGCTTGATCCTTTCAGGCCTCTCCCTACAGCCAGCTGCCATCCTGGGACCGTTGGGTCCCCAGCAGGGTACCAGCAACTGGGCACTGGGTCTTGAGGACCTATTGCAGGTGATTTGTCACCCAGCACCTGGGCTGGGCTGAAAGTCCTTCCACACCACTCTGCTGCTGCTTCCCCAAGTGCCCCTGTATGCCCAGAAGCCAGACTGCCTGCCAGCCTGGCAAAGAAAGGTCACTGTATCCCTCAAATGCCTGATGAAAAGCCACACATATGGATTTGCCTGGCTTTGTTTGGGGGGTGCTGCTGCCTTGGCTGGAAACCAGTTTCCTTCTTTGCTGAGGTTGTCCTATCCTTTGCCTCTGGAGAGAGTTGCTTGAGGCTAACAGGGTTTGCCTGCTATTGGCTGTGCTGGGCCCTGCTGTGCTGACCAGGCACGGCCCTGCCTTCTTTCCCCCTTCTCCCCAGCTTTAGGAATGTTTTCTTCCATCTCGTGTAGACTGGGGGCTCCCTGGAGCAAGGCCTGACAGTTTCTATCTTTGTGTGGGATAGCTCTGTTCCCCTTTTTGCTCCAGTGCACAGCTGCATGCTAGGCAGGGCAGCCCGTGTCCATTGGCTGCCTGCTTCTGCTGCCGTGTGCCCTGTGCTGTGTGCCCTGTACCCGCTGCCATGGTGTGTGGGGATCCTGGGACCAGGGTATGCAGCAAATTGGAAAAAAAAAAAATATCTCTGCTCTGGAGCTTTCCTTTGTTTATTTACTTATCTCACTAGTAAACAGAGCAGCTCTTGGAGATTAGGCAGGAGGGAGAAGAGGAAGGGAAACCGGACTCTGAGGTTATGACCTCCTTGTGGATGCTGGGCTGTTTACATTCCCTGCTTTGGTCCCAGTAACTATTGCAGGGCAGTTTCTTCTCAGCGCCTTGCCAGGCTGTAGAGGTTTTTCCCTGCTCGTGCTGCTCTTGTCCTGTTCCCTATAGCACTTTCCACCAGGCAGTGCTGCCACAGCCAGCCAAAGCTGACTGGCAGTCTGGGGTCCCCTGAGGGGCACAGTCCTGTGCTTGGTCTGCTGCTGTGTGTTTCATGAATGAAAGCCTCAGAATGGGAATTTTGGGAGCTGTTGGCTCCATGTCATTGAGCTGAGCCAGAGCCTGCTACTCTCTGAAGAGCTGAAAGGCAAACCCCAGGCTATGGCTGCTCAGAGGGACCATGGCTACAAGATGTCTGGTTGTCATTAGCCAGTAGCTGCTGCCAGGACCAAGTGAGTTAGACAAGGAGTGCCCAGGAAGGCATAAAAGGAGGGAGAGGGAAAGACGATTGGCAGTGAGGGCAGCGCAGGGAGCTCGGAGTAAGTGGGGAAAGCAGCTGGAAAGACACCTATCGGTGTTTGGGTGCACTCAGCTAAAATCTCGCTGCCTTGCAGACTGTGCTGGCCCCTGTGGCAGAGGCAATGTGATGGGCAGCTGGAAAGAGACTCACCTGGTGGTCCACAGCTGCTGGCCATTGTGGAGCAGGACCCCCACTCCTTTCGTGGCCACAGGCAGCTGCCTCCCACACAGCACACCCTCCTTCCCTTCCTCAGTATATCGGGGCTCCCTGGGGCAGGGTTGGCTGCTGTGGCTTCCCAGCTGGTGCGTGAGCAAGCGAGGAGACATGACTGCAGAGGAGAGATGACTGCAGACAGTGCTTTTGCTGTGGGCAAAAGACCCAAGCAGGGGATGAGCTGGCCAGCTGAGCATGGCAGCACATTCTCTAGGCCTGCAGAGAAGCTGAAATCTGGCTCATCTCAGAGAGCTGACAGCCTGACCAGCATGGCATCCTGCTCTGTACCATCAGGGATGGCTGCTGAAGACACAGGTTCCACTCCACCCAGCGACTTCTGTGTCCCTGGAGATTTAATGTCATCCCCCAAGTGCTCATGTGAAGGAGGAGAAAGCAGGACAGAGGCTGGGTAGAGCCTGGGAGCACTGGAACATTGTGTGCTGGGAGGCTGTTTGGATTAGAAACTCTCAGTGGATAAGTGGGCTGGAAGAAATGCCAGGGAGGGGAATCAGTTTGCTGAACTCCAGTAATTGGACTCATGTGCAGCACCTGGGTAAGCAGAGTGAGCTGTGAAGGGAATGAGCCAGCAGGCAAGAGCTGGCAGAGCCACGGCCCAGCAGGAGCACCCAAGCACAGACTGTCAGCACAGCACAGACTGCAGGGATGGGATAGGTGACACAGGAAGGAGCAGCGCAGGATCATCTCTGAGTGCTGAAGCCACTTGAGCATGAGTGACTGAGTTAAGGATGGCATGGTGCATAGGGGTAGGGGGAACACGGGGCATGGTCTAGGGAGAAGGCTGCACGAAAGGTATCTTTGGTGTGACATAATTGCTCTTTGGAAAGTTCATGCTCAGGCCTGAGACAAAAACAGGGGATGACTGGAGCCCAAAGCTCTTGCAGTCACAGATGTGGAGGCAGAGCTGTGAGGAGGCAGGAGTGAATCTGCTGAAGGGCTGAGGGAGCCCAAACCTGTGTTCTCTGTTTGCTACAGGGGAGAAAGTAGGTCACTTAGTAAGCAAAGGTGGTGGAAATGGTGGTCTGAACCTAGTGCTGCGTGCATGTTTAAAACTCAAGCTTCCAGGGAAAGGAGACAAAAAACCCAAACAAACAGCGGGTGATCAAAAGCCAGTACATGAATAGCTGCAAAGCTCTGTGGGTCTGGAGGCACATGCATGCTTTGCCTGAGTCATCAGCAGTTTTAGCATGCTTGAAATTCACAGCTGACGTTGTGAGCACTAGGGCACATGTTTTGCTGGTCTTTGCTGATGACCCTGGTAACATGTGTCCCCTAAACTGGTCATCTTTGGAAAAGTGGCTGCCATAACCACCTGGTTGGCCAAGGAGAAACAGGTAGGGCTTGCTTTGGGGAGTAACAGAACAGAATCAGTGCCTCAGGTTAGTAAAGGGTTTGATGCAGCTGCTTGCTCGGCAGCCTGCGTGTACGTGCGCCTCGTAAGTGCCTGCTGGTTCATCCTCACATCAACGCAGCAGAGCCCATAGCCAGGCCCTCGTGGTGCCAATGGAGTCTGTGATCCCAAGGGGAAGTGAGTAGGCGGTTCTGAATCTGGCCCAGGGACCGTCTCCCCTGCCAGCAAGTTCACCATTTGCACGCACCCCCCCTGCCCTTTTTGGAGCCTTAAAAAGTAAAGACTGAGGCTGGGAAGCAGGAGGGTTTTTCTAGGGCTTGTGGTTGAAGCAGCCCAGCCAGACTAGGGTACCCTTCACCCTTCCCAGGCCCTGTCAGAGCCACGGGAAGCTGATGTCCAAATGCGTCCCCTGGATGCAGAGCCTCACTCATTGGCTTGTTCATCTGTGTCAGTTCCCAGGTCTCCTCTCGGGATGCAGGCAGCTGGAGGCAGCTGGTTCAAAGGCCAGGCTGGTCAGGAAGCGGCAAGGGAAGTGTGGGAAGTCGCTGCATTTCATATAGGAAAACAAGCCCCAGCAAGGGGCAAGGGAGCATGGCGCAGGGCTGGTTGTCAAGTCCTGGCACTGGCATTGCTAACGGTGTGTTAGGTCTTTGTATCTGGAAAAGGCATTGGCTTTGCTCAGTGCCACCTAAGGCGTGAGCTGCTCAGGCATCTTGGTGGCACTGTGCAGGTGCTGCCTGTGGCCTGGAGGGCACCTGGCAGCCTGGCTAGGCCAGGGAGGAGGTGATGCTGGGGGGCCCGTCCCTCCAGGCTGGCTTCAGAGAAGCCCCTGAGCAAACGTGGCGTGGCTGCAGGAAGCCAGGCCTTTGGGGTGAGACAGAGCACGCCATAGCTGCTTTGTGGTCACCAAGGGGTCCGTGACACCAGCAGTCTGGGCTGCTTCCTGGTCACCATCCAGCTCCCCTCAGTTCCTCTGCTCACGC